AGTCTCAAATCAGCGAGGCTCTGGGCAAACATTGCCTTTTAGGCCCTCCTAAACCCTAAACCCCTAAACCCTAAACCCTAAACCCTGAACTTCAGCCTCGCAGCCGGGAGCCCTGTTACTGTTATTCGTGCCAGCTTCACCGCCATGGTCCCGGAATCAAACGTCAATACATGGCTGTGCAGCTGCTGGTGCCGTGGGATTGCGCTTGGCACCGGCAGGTGCAGCTGTGGCTGCGAAAGGAAGTTGTCAAGTTACCAGAATTTTCAATGATTTGCACGTCGTTTTGATGATTGCAGCCCTTAGGGTGGGACATTTGCTGCATCAGTTTGCAGTTGGCCAACTTGGGCGCACATGCAGAAATTAGCATCTTCGAAATCCAGCTATTAGAAATTGGGAGCGGATTGCTGTGCGCTTCAACCTGCCGCTTGCCAGAAGGACCCGTATAACTGCAAGTTTTGCTTGGGGTTTAGGGTTTAGGTTGTGGAAAAGCGCCGAACTTTTCTCACTCAAGTATCAAGCACCATTCATGAACAGAAGCGCGGTGCTTGCGCTGTCCGGCCACACTGTCCTGCTGTGTTGTCATCAACTGCTTCACTGCTTCTCCTGAACATGTGAGCTATAGTATCCCACTTAATAACCCTGTAATACTCCCCTATATGGGCCGCTATATAACACGCTTTAAGGAGTTTAGATTATGGCTCATGTGCTCCCAAGCTTCCACGCATTCTTCCTGGCCTGTCTGTCTTTGGACTCCTGTACAATGACGCTTGCCCAGAATCACGACACCCCAAACATCAAACAACCTCCACCCCCTAGTAGCAAACACAAGCCCCAATATCTCAGCAAGCGTGTTAATGCTTGATAACATGGCTACTAGGGGGCACTCACTGGGCAGCAAATTATGTGAAGCCCCGCTTTTTTAAGTTTGCGTCTGAACCCTGAATTCTAAGACGTGCTGCCTTATCTCGTTGTTTTGTCCCCCATCCTATGAATTGAGCTTGATCCTGTCGAGCTGGATCTCATGATGCCCAGGGTAAACCATCTATTCCCATGCATGTGTTCACCTAGACAAACCTGCCTACTTCAGGGGCCTCAACATGGACCCCAAAATACGAGAATCCTTGTTATAGGGACCCCCAAAAAACGACGCCGAAGTCAAGGAAAGCCTAGCCCCGACAACCCATCTTGTAGCTCAAGTTTCCATTTAATCTTCCATTTTGCTCCATATGATTCTCCAGTAGTGGGGTAACATCCCTGAGTTTCATACATCCCCAACTGGGTTGTCTTGACTGGAGCGCGTCTTGAGCGGCAGAATTCCTGGGCCTATTCTCGTGATGCTTACACGGTTTAGGGTTCGGGGTTTAGGGTTCAGGGAAGGCCATCAGTCTCCACGTGGCAGGTCAATTTTCCCTGGTATGAAGCACGCGCTCCTGTGCACCTGAAGACCTTGTATGCACCCACTTCACGGCGAGTGTGTGATGTCATGGATGTTTTGGATGTCAGGCGGACCGGGCTGTTCCGTTTGACTGTGGCTGGTTCATTCCGCATCTCGGGATGCGCCTTAGAAGGAGATTTCACAAAATTACGCCCTGGAACCAACCCTGTGAAGGCAGGGAGGGATATGGGTTATAGGGATATAATTATAAGGGTTATATTGGGACAATGGAAAAGAAAATGGAAACTACTATGTAGTATATAGGGGCTATATACCTTCAACTCAAGGGCCTAGTTGATCTGCCTGAGGCCCTGGCCCCTAGGAGGACTGTGGATAGCAACGGCTGGCCAATTCCTGGCTACGTGGTTCGGAGTCTGGCTTTGGGGCTTGAGGTTGAGGTTGCGAAGTTTAGGGGTTCAGGGTTTGCGGCCTTAGGGCTGTTCATGGGGTGATGTTTGTTTTGAAGTCCCTACAACGAAGTCCACAGTAATCTGGATACTGCAGAAGGTCTCTTGCAGCGCATACCCGCATTCCAACAGCAGAACATCTGCATGCTTAGCGGTGGGGCCGGTATGAAACTTCCAAAACTTCGAAAGGTGCAGTTGTCGTGATTTTCCAGTCAAAAAGAGAAGTGTGGTCAGAAGCTGTCATGCTTCTGCCAAAAAGTATGTAGTTATAACCCCTCCAATCCCTGCAGTTTCCATTTTCTTTTTCATTATCCCTATATACCCCCAATATACTATAGTAGTTTCCATTTCCTTTTCCATTAGTTGCAGTAGTGGTGCCCCCGAAAATGCAATGGCCAAGCAGAGGTTCTCGTAGCGGTCAAGCGTACGGAATACTAGAAGGAGCAGTGCTGGCAGCAGTAGCAGTAGCGGTAATATAGTCCCTATATAATTAACCCCCTATAACCTAGAAAGCGTTTCAGGGTTTAGGGTTTAGGGTTTAGGGTTTCCCTACTAACCCCCGGTAAGTCCCTGCACTCTAGACCCAGCTAGGGCAGCCTTGCCCTCGGAAGCGGAGCGGCCTTGTTGGTACATTGGTCCACCGAAGCCACCGCCAGCTGCAGGCTGCTGGTGGTAACTTTGCTGTAGTGCAAGATCCTGCGGAGGGTGATCAGATACTGGGAAGGGAGTATATAGTATATATATATGGGTTATATTCGAATAATGGAAAAGAAAATGGAAACTACTATGTAGTATATAGGGGTTATATTGAGATAATTGCAAATAGAATGGAAACTACTATTTAGGATTTAGGGTTTCTCGTGTATTTTAGCACCTCTTCTTCCTAGGAGCCATTCTTTTTAGGGTGACGAAACGACCCGGCCTGAATGCTTGAGTGCTTGTCTCTTTTGGTCAATTATCAATTCTTCCCGTTCTTGCGCTACAAGGAGGAATATGTCACACATCCGCTTCGTAAGCCCTAAACCCTCAATCGGAAATAACAGTTTCGACTTAACATTCCATCTATCTTCCACCTGGTTCTTCATTGCTGGAGACATTACAGGAATCCCGCAAGCCCTAAGCCCTAAACCCTTAACCCTAAGCCCCGAAGCTTAATCCCTAAGCCCCATAACCTAGGCCCTAAACCCTATACTCTCAACCCCAAGCCCTCAACCTTAGCAGTTTCCATTCTATTTGCCATTATCCCAGTATAACCCCCATATACTACATAGTAGTTTCCATTTTCTTTTCGGTTATTCCAATATAACCCTTATATCCCCTAAATACCCCCTACCCAGTACCTAAAGCCTAGGCATCCCCTCCTGATTCTCCGCGGCGGGGTCCTGAAGGCTGGTAAATCGTCAAGCTGCTCCCATAACCAGACCCGTAGAATGGGGCTTGCCCAAAAGGGCATTATAGGTTTTAGGGCTTAGGGTTAAGGGTTTAGGGAGTAGTGCCCCAAATTGTGGGGACATTTTAGGGGTTGTGTAGAGGGATCATGGACATGAAAATGGCAACTATTCCGGTTTTTGAATTAAAAGTACAAAGATGTTGCCCCAATGATGTGGCATTATGACTGAGTTTGTGAATAAGTCTTTCTGTTGTTACTTGATCTATGACTACTGAAACTAAGACAACGATTACGTTTCCTGAAGAATTGTTGCCTGTTATAACTAGGTGAGCAGGTACTACCATTAGCAGGATAGTGTACAGCAACATGTGTAATAGTATCAGTAGTAGCCGTACTGGAATACTGTCAGTTGGGCAACAACATAAGGGTATGACTTGAAAATCCTACCGCATCAGGTGGCCAGCCTTCTCGAATGGCTTCCGGAACGGCTGTGGTTCCTCAATAAAGCGCGTCTTCTTGGGCTGAAGTGGAACCCTGCAAGCACTTGATCTTCTGAGGTATGTACTGTTTGCACTAAGACTGTCACCGATATGATATAGCTTGCAATCCAAGCTCAAGACAATGCCAGAATCAAATGTAAACAACTAAAAAACCCTTGCAAAGTCTCGACTGTAAGAGCAATGAAGAGAGTAGGGGTAATACAATGTTAATAAAATGGTAACACCAATAATAACGAGAGTAACAATACTGTAAATACAGAATGAATAACCCTAAACCCTTAGGGTGAACAAAATGAAGAGCTAGCTCCTGCACCACCCTTTGAGTCCAGCTTGTCAGAGTCAAAGCTTTACTAGGGTATATGGTCTATAAGAATAATGGAAAAGAAAGACAATATACAACATTATAATGGGCTATGTATTGGGGTAAGGGAGTGTATTACTCTTCAAGGTCCGACTAGGGCAGCCTTCATGATGCGCAGGGAGCATGAGCAGAACTTCAAGCTCTACTAGCAGTTCTGCTATTCGACCATTCACAAGGGCATTGTAAAGGCACTCTATGCAGCAACCAAACCATCATACGGGGCGCGAACCCGCCGGAAGAGGATGCGTACGGATTGCATGAGGACTTTTGGTATGTAAGCGATCTGCGCTAACAACCAAGCACCTAAACCATAAGCCGCTAAACCCTAAACCGCCGAACCAGCAAACCCAAAGCGCCTGACCTCGACCAAAAAAATCACCTGCGAACTTTGCCTTTCATACTACCACGCATGCAGAGATTATGTTTCATGCTGCTGGCGTTTCAGATTCTTGCATCATCACGCCTGGCTTCCCCGAAAACATCTGGAAGGAGCCGGCCTGCGACTGCACGCCGCTCACCACATTCGTTTCCTGGAGCAGACCGACCAGGACTGTCAAACCACGATCCGAGTAAGGTGCTGGGCTAGCCTGTATCTTCAAATGCTGCTGAAAGAAGGTGTAAAGAGTAGTTTCTGTTTTCGTTTACATTATCCAATATAACCCTATATAACCCTATACAATCCCAATATAATCTGCCAAGTATTGAGGCTTCTTTTGGTTCATGCGATGATTGTAGCTTTCAATGCTGGTGACACGCCTTTCGGGTGAGGTTGAGCTTTGGGGGCTTTGTACTGCATGCTGAGGCACCTTTTGAGCATCGAAATTCCCCCTGATGGCTTCAAGGCGGTGGCTGTCTTTGTGCAGATCCCAATATACTAGAGTAGTTTCCATTTTATTTTCCGTTATCCCTATATAACCCCTATATAATCCCTACATAGTGGAAGGAGGGGCTGCAGGTGAGCACTGGCATTGGCAAAGCTTGCCTGCGTCTCCTGGGCCAGCTCCTGCAAGACCTTGATCTTCTCTTCAGGTGCTGCAGGGACCTTGGAAGCTTTTCACAATTTAGAGGCTCGCAACTTTTGGGGTGTGATAGTTTGACGTCATCAAGACACAAGCCAGCTCGGACAGCACATCCGAATCATTATGAATCTAGCAGCGGAAGCCTGCGTGTAGGAACGGGTCTGGGAACCGTACGCAGAAGTCCCAGGTGCGAGTACGAGCCCACTCGGTACCCTCTGGCCTTGCCTCATCTAGGTCATCCTGTGCAGTGGGACAGACAAAGTGTGCCCCACTGGACGGCGTTCGCACACATAGACCTTGGCCCTCTTTGGGGACAATCATTGCTTCGAGGGTCATGCGATCCTTCCGAGGCACCTTGTTCCAGTTAAAATTCCCGTCCCGGTCCCAGAACTCTGAATCATCATGATATTTCTCCACGATGTCATCTCTTCTCTCGCAGTGCGCGCCAGCATGGACTGTCTCAGAGTTTTCCTTCGGTGGGCCACAGTAGTCCCAGACTGCGGGTGGCTGTCCTGACCCAGCCACGCGATGGTCGGCCCCTGCAGCATCCACGAAGGACGGCTGTGACAACAACGAACACGGCTCCGTCCGGTTGATTTTGCACCAAGGAAACTCCCGACCTCGGCCAGCACAATGGGAATGAGGCGAGCAGTTACAACCAGATGCAGTGCCTGGGACGGGTCCGGGAGGCGGAACATAGTCAGGCCCGTTAGGCGCATCCAGGGCGTCCAGTTGGTCAGGAGCTGGACCAATTCCAGTACGTAGCAGGTCCAGTATGGGAAAAGTCCTGCGTTTTGCTATCCGGCTTTTTTGAATCAGCTGCTCAGCAGCATGAGCAGCGGCGCCGGCATCATGGCCCAACCCACTCAATGCTTTTTTGGTCAACTTGTTGCACCGCCCTGACCTGTGCTGTTCACAGGCCTTGAGCGCCCCCAAGTAGCCATCCAGGTTCGCCAGCTGCCTCTTTAGGCCAGCAGTACTGCGCCGCCGCATAAGCAGGCGCAGCTCATCGCGGAAGTTGCGAACCAAGTTAGTGGCTTTCTGCGTGTGGAGGCGCATGTGCAGCACCTGCGCATACCAGGTTGCTGGATGGAAGTGATTCAGACCAGAAACGGCATCGTGGAGGAGAAGCTCGAAAAAACGATGTATATAGCGACTGTCTTCTCGCGCTACATGTTCAATGCCAATGGTAAAAGCACGACAGAACTGAAAGCAACAGCCATGTCTGCTACAGAAACTGTGCTCATCACTGCAGTAATCAGGACTAGCAGAAGGAGCAGCATGAGAAGCACTAGTGATTAAAGCACGCGCACGGGCCGCAAGACTTGTGGCTGGCATTCTTACCAGAGTAACTACAACACCGTTTGTATCCGGATATAGTAGGCTCTACTCCTACAAGAATAACAGCAGTACCAATCATCTCTCCTTACATAAGCTCCGTGATGGGACATGTATAAACTGGTAGTCCATTCCATGCTATTGGAATGTGCTGGAAAATGCGTCTAGTAATGGCCTCGTAAACCCTACACCCCATACCCTAAGCCTGCGCGTCAGCTGCATTGTTCTCAGCCCGCTCAATGGCCTTCCCAGCCTACAGCAAAGGCCACAGCTTCGGTGGATCAAAGGTGTTGGGGGAAGGCTTTAGGATTCGGACCATAGGGTTTGGCAAAGTCAGGTTTAAGGGGTTAGGGTTTGGAGGTAAGGATTACGGGGCTTGGGTACTGTACAGGCCTTCAAGGCCCCCCTCTCCAGAGGCTGGGCCTCCCCGGGCTTCCCTACGGCGGCGGACAGCAAGATAGATTTTTTCTGGGATCGTGCAGACATATTTTCTCTACTTTCTCAAACCGCCAAATTAGTCTGGGACACTGTACACATCATTTTTTCCCCAAAAATCGCCCCTGAACCCTAAATCCCTAACTAAACCCCAGGCCCCTAAACCCTAAGCCCCAAGCCTCTAAACCCTAAACCCCCAAAACCCTAAACCCAAAGCCCTAGTGAACCTTCTTGCTGGCAATCTCCACTACCGAAGCAGGGTCTGCCATAGCCAGCTCCTCGGTGCGGGAAGATGGAGGCTTAGGGTTGAGGGCTTTAATTTAGGGTTGAGGATTTGGGCTTCAAAGGGTTGAGGGTTGAGAACCCTTCAGGGCTTTAGGGTTGAGGGTTTAGGGGTTGAGGGCTTAGGTTTTAGGTGTTTAGGGTTTATGGTTGAGGATTTTGTATTTGGGGGTTATTGGGTTTAGGGTTTCGGGCTTTAGGGTTTAGGGCTTCAGGCTGGGGCATTTACGTAGGGTTGAGGGTTTAAGGCTTCAGCGTTAGGGGTTTAAGGGTTTAGGGGTTGAAGGTTTTTGGATTAAGGACTTTAGGGTTTGGGGCTGAGGGTTTGGGGGTTTGAGGTTTTGGGTTTGGTGGGTTCAGGTTTTAGGATTCAGGGCTAGGGGTATAGGGCTTGAGGGTTTAGGCTTGAGGGGCTTAGGGGGGTCCAGGGTTCAGGGGTTTAGGGGTTTGGGCTTAGGATGTAGGAGTTGGGGTTTAAGATTTAGGGGTTAAGGGTGGTAGACTATGAGTACCATAATTCCCGGGGTTTAGGTGTCTAGCGTTATGCAGGGGTCTAGGGGCTGAGGGTTTAGGGGATTATGCGTTGGGGCTGAGGGCTTGGTGTGTAGAGGTGAAGGGTTTAGGGCTTATTGCCATTACTCAGCGCGTCGGGTTCATTCTGCTCTTGGAGTTTGAGAGCTATGGAACTCTGAGCTTCAAAGCGTTGAAGCGCTGAAAGATTTCAGTTTGAGGGCTTATGCATGTTTATGCTTGACGTTCTAGAAACATTCGATATTTCAATTCGTAACAGACCCCACAGGAAATGCCGGGAGAGTATACCAGGCTTGCACAGAGATTGCATGGGACTATTACTGGGAACCCCAAACCCTAAAACCTTAACGCTAAACCCTCAACCCTAAACCTATACAAGGCTGGCTCAGGGATTGTAAGTGCCCCGGTAAAACTCGCCTGGATCAGGGACCAAAACGATGAATCTGGTTGTAGCACGTTTAGGGTTTAGGGTTTAGGGCTTAGGATTTAGGGGCTTAGGGTTCAGGGTTTAGGTCTTAGGGTATAGGGCTTAGTGTTCGGGGTTTAGGGTTCACGGCATGTCAGGCCTGACAGGGATAGCCAAGAAGGTTCAGCAGCAATATTGTAGTTGTTCGCGCTTCTGAGATTCGGTAGTTCCCCAACATAGGGGGACCCCAATGTAGACCCCAAAACACGCTAATCTTAGTATGGGACCCCCAAAATGGTACCCCTAACCTGTGAGCTATAGCCTACACACCTTAAAGGGGGTTATATAGGGGATATATATAGGACACTATTCTAGGGCTTATTAAGGGGGATACTACGAGTTTAGACTACAGTTCATTTGTAGGCAGCTGTTTTGGGGATCCTTGTTCCAAGGGACTCGGACTCTGAGAGATGCCTCATCGCTGCCTCCTGCAATGAAATCCGTTGGTAACCTAATGTAGCCTTGTCTATGGTATAGTAGGTTACATGGGGCTAAAGGAAAAGACAATGGAAACTACTATGGTATGTTGGGGCTTTATAGCGATGTTGGAGATTTTGCCATTGTTGAACTCTTTAAGGCTTCAAGGTTTAGGGGCACTACATAAGCCGTAGAGCCTTGAGTTGCGGGGGATTTCTAGGAGACCAACAGAGGACAGGGGTTGATGGGAAGACTTTCTACTACTCTTGAAGGTCCATTGCTCCATTCCCTACTAACCACCAGCAGCCCCCTAAACCCTAAACCCCTAAACCCTAAACCCCTAAACCCTAAACACCTAAATCCTAAACCCCTAAACCCCAAACCCCCTAAACCCTAAACTCCTAAACCCTAAACCACCATCCACAGCATCGAGGGCAGGGCTCTTTGCGTGTTCAGGTTCTCAGCCTGCGCGTCAGCCTGCCAAGTCAGCTGCAGGAACATCCTTCTTGTTGATGTCAGCTTTTTGGAATCCTCCACTGTGGTTCCTTTTTAGGGGTTTAGGGTTTAGGGTCAGGCGCTTGTCACGGGGTTTTGGGAAAGATGTCTCTAAAAACCCTGCAAAGTACTGCATACAAGGTACTGCCTGCGAGGTACCAAATTGAAACGTCTAGGACGGCTTGAGGTGTACGTGGCTTGCACGGGACGGATACAATATTAGATATACGTCATCATTGCTTCAGCTGCTGATGCCGTCTGCGTAGCACTTTCACACAACTTCTTACGCTTACGGACATCCAGTATGAAAGTGATGCTTATGAAATCATGCAGATGATGCAATGGTGATGATAATGATGATGATCGTGATGGTGATGGTGATGGTGATGATAGTGATAATGATGGTGATAATGATGGTGATGGTGGGGGTGGCGGTGATGATGATGATGATGATGATGATGCGAGAGAAGTCGTACCAACACCCGTAAGACATACTGCCACACGGGTCATGAACAGCGATAAACGCGTTAGCAGCAGCAGCAGTAGCAGCAGCAGAAGTAGCGAAAGCATACGTGAACCTTAGTATGCCCCTCTACGGTTCTGAGAATTCTCACCCTCTGGTATGTTGATCCCATGAATGCCAACCAACAGCATACAGGACCGCAAAGACTTGTTTAGTTGAGAACCGGAGAAGGGATAACAGTAGTCAGCCCCACAAAAACCCTTTAACCCTTCGCCCGTACCAACCAAGCATAGAAGATCAGGCCTCAGCTTCTTTCTCCGCCTGGCAGGAGGATTTGGCAAAGCTGGCTGGCTCGTCACAGGAGAGCGGCATTTTACCCATTTCGTTTTCCATTATCCCAATATATCCCGGTTTAGGGACAAAAAATGAGAAAGCTCTCCCTGACCCCTCGTGGTAGCTCCATGAACTGATGGAAACATGCTCCAGGTTAACTCCAGGTTCAGGATTTACGCTTCTGGGCTTAGGATACTGGCTGGGATTCAACGGAATACAGCAATGGATCCATGCGGACATCAGTGGATTAGAAGGATTCCACGGAAATCATTGCCCCTGCCAGACGGGCTCTTCAGGTTTCTGCTGCTTACGACATAGAATGAACTTGCCAGCACATACCCCTTCTAGCTTGAGACAAGGACATGAAAAGGGTTCTTGCTGGGTTCAAGCGTTGGACCCACAAGTTCTTGCAAAGGCTAGGGTTTAGGGTCCATCAGCAACACTGCCTGCCACAAAATGTTGGAAAGTACTGCATGTCACTCTGCATGCCCTTTCAATGGTGGCCTCGGCAATCCATTGCCCTTCTTGATCCCAGTAGCCGTTTTGACTCTGGTGATACCCACCTCCTTCAGCAAAGCAGAAAAAAGCATGTTAAACAAGGGACAAAGTCCAATGCAGAGGGCGCACAGACCCACAAGCCCAAATCGAAATCCATGATCCAGCCACCATGCCCTGTTCTACGCAACTACCCCAAGCGCAGCATGTGCAACAAGCGCTTTCGCATGGGCAGGTTAGTAGGGAGTTTAAGTTAGACAGGCCGAAGAGAACACTTTGACGGGTAAGAGGCCCACACAGCCCTTCCTAGATTTTGTGAAGCCTGTTTGCTGCATATAAGGAATAATTTGATTTCAAACATCTCGGAAGCTCCGCATGACGTGCCCGCCGAAGGTCCTCCGCCATGCATGTCCTGGAAACAAACCTGATCATGTGCTTTGGGTTGAGGGTTTAGGGTTCAGGGCTTAGGGTTTATGCTTTAGGCTT